CCCTGGCCATGGGACGTCTGCAGAACCTCCTTAGCTTCCTCCCATTCTGCTTCTCTTCTGGACTTGAAGAACCCCTTCCTATACTTGCAGAGTGCCATGGGCACATCCTCAGTTACAAGCCCAAACATGATCCCTGTCTTGACACGGTCCCTGTGGCTAGTAGCGAGGAGCATCTCTGTGGTTGCCTCCTCACAACCTCAGGACAAAGTGTGTGCTCCCCAGGCAGTTGGGGGTCAGGCTGGTTCTGAGGCTGAGCCATCAAGGTGAAGAGCCTTGGGGATGCAAAGCAGCAGCTGGAGGGAAAGTGTGGCTATGGTGGCCAGGACACTGAGAGGAGATGGTGTACATATTTTTAGGAATATGGCATAATATGGAAGAAATGTGTCCACTTGACACAGAGGAAGGCTGAAATACCAAACAGCTCATGGCTAAATTTAGCAGAAGTGCTTTTACTTAAGAACTGCGTAGGCGAAGGCTTCATAATACAAAAGACGTCCCCAGGGAACCTGCTCAGCTGTGGCCACCAGTGTGCCATGACCTGGTAGGGCTGAGTCCGGGGCCGCCTGACCACAGGGGTAAATGGATTGGGGCTTCACAGTGCTGGAGATGTAGAGGTTCGACTGCTTTGTCCCCACTGACCATGACTCAAGGCTCCCAACTCTCTGCTCTTTTATCTGTGTCTAAGGTGACCCTTCAATTCCCCAAAGCAAAATTGTGCTCCCTGAAGACTAGGGGAGTGTTTACATGTGCTTTCTAACACCTCAGCTCAGGACACGGGAAGGGAGGACCTCCGGAGAGGTTGAGCAGGAGCCTGAGCCATTGGCAAGGGCTTTCTGGTATCTAGGTCTGACCTGGGAGTTTTCCAGACTTACTTGGCTATTGACACTTGGCCTTGATGGCCAAGACCAAGGCTCCCCAGTTGTCAGTATCTCGTGGTGGGATATGAGGCTTGGCTCCCACTGGCAGAAATGTAGTACCTGCCTAGTGGCTAGGTGGGCTGTGCATGGGGCCTGAGCCTTGCCTGGCAGGAGGGGTGATTTCTACCTTGCACCAACTGTGGCCTCCGGCCCCTTCCAGCACAGTCTGAGGTCACCTATGGTGGCTCTTAATCTCTTTTCCACACCCACCCCCAGCTCCTACTGTGGGTGCCACTTACCAGGGCCAGCGCATGGCACTAGAGACCTCCTGTACTTGGGATGCTGGGCAGCCCCAAATTGGGAACTTGTTTGGGAGGACACAGACCAGGGCAGCTGGGTATGGAAGTTGATGACAGAGCCCAACTAGCTGGACAGGTCAGAATCTGATGGAGGCTGTGGGACCCATAAGTCGGGGCCTAAACCATGAAGACCTTGGGTCCCCGTACTCTCTCCTGTTGTGGGGACTCTGGACATTCACTGTCTTTGCCTTTTGACTCCTTTGTACGCAGCCAAGCCTGTAGCTTTAGTGGAGATCATTTTTTCCCTTGAACTGAATTAATTTTGAAGTCAATAAGAATTTCACACACAATACCCAAGGCAGAATATTGCTGTCAGGGAGCAGGAAATTTAATTAAATCCATAGGCTTGGGAAGAAACTGAGGGGCTGATGAGATGGATGGAGTGGAGGGGACCCTGGACAGCATGTACCCACCGTGAGGTAAGTAGCATCATTTCTTCTAGACACCAGCCCCTGAAACACCTGAGTGTTCAGTTTTCAGCGGAAACTGCCATTGGGAAGAGAAATTACTCTTTGGGTTTTGTGCCATAATTTTTATCGCTTTTTCAAATTAAAATATTTTGACTTTCTAATCCATTATTAGGGAATATGCATTTATGGTATTTACAGGGCCTCTGAAATGTTTAATTAAGAAGAGAAACAGTTCTTCAAGGGAATTGGCACTGTAGCCTTGCCCTGGCAGGCTGCAGGGTGGTCCATGAGGGAAACAGGGGCCAGAGGAAGGGAAACAAGGACTGGAGGTCTGCTCTGCAGTGAGTGCAGCCACCCTGCTAGTAACCCCCTGCACCCAGCCCTGTGTATGACCCAGGACCAGGTCAGATCAGAGGCTCCCAGAAGCCTCTGTGCAGGAAGACAGCGTGAGCATGCACACAAGCCTGCCAGGCCTGACTAGTTCAGAAGCTGCATCATACCCTCGCTGCTTACAAGAGAATGTGCATATGTGCATAAGGCCCACGCCTCCCGAGGCTGCACACAGTAGGCCTGATCACAGGTCACGGACATGGCTGCAGGACTGCTCAGCATCTCTGAGTCCTGCCCACTTTACAAGCACAACAGCAGATCAGGGTCAAAAGTGAGGTGAAGCTCAGATGGGGAGACTAGAATGGCAGGTGGTCCCTTCTGGACATGGAGTCCTCTCCCTGGAGCCTACAGAAGCCAAGGATTCCTGTCACTGTGTAGGAATCCATACCTCCTAAGACAGTCTGTTGAGTCCAGGAGGGCCAGCCCAGAAGGATCAGGGCAGAGCAACCCAGGTCCCTGGCTACCATCCCAGCTTGAGTCACAATTCAGAGGCCTCAGAACGGGGCCTGCTGACCCTTTTCTTTAAAGAAATAGTCACTTAGCCAAGTCAAAGCCTTCTTAGAGATCCCTCAGGATGGTCTCCTGGTGTGAAAATGCTAAATTACTACAGGGCAGCAGGCCAGCCTGGGAGCCTGGAATCTACACGGCAATGGGCTAGCCTGGGAACCTGGAATCCACTCACACCTCCTACAGAAACATGATCTGAATTCACAGTCAGTGTGAACAGGGCTGACCTGGGGTCTGACATGATTCTCCTCCATCCCCATTATTTTCCGCTGGGATGGTTGAAAATGAAACTTAGATGCTAAGCCTTGACTCCCGGTAGGTGCCAGGCTCCTGCCAAAGGTACTTACATACAGGCTCACACCAGCCCGCTTGCATGGGCCCAGCTGGGCCTTATCAGTGGGATCCAATAAAAGAACAAACACTGAGTGCACTAAGGAGCAGCATCCTCTGGCATCAGGGTGACCCTGGAGATGGCTTCTGTGTGGAAATGGGATTGATTACCTTTCCGAGCGAGTGAGGCAGGAAGGCCGTCACCGGGCCGGGTGACGAGGGAAGGTCGGAGAGGACGATGGGAACTGAGAGCCACGAGCCACAGCTCACAGAAGAACTGAACAGTGAGGTCGTTTCATTTGCATTAAATTCTAAATACTGTTAACCTTAGTGCAGTCTGGGCCGCTCCTCTCCCACCCACGCCGCCCTGGTTCAGTGGCCTGGGACATGTGGGCAGAGTACAGCAACACTAATTCCAGCTCGCTCCCATGAGCACCGAGTGCAGACCATGCAGTAGCTCCATGTGCTTTCCACACTGCATGGCTAGGGGTCACCCACGCCTACCCGTGTTCTATGGATAACCAGAGGGTGGTGGCCCTAGGAACATTAAACATGGGATGCAGAAAAGCCAACCCTGGTGACGAGGCACAACAGATCAAGTGGGTTAGGCTCATGACACCTCCGGAGGCCATTCCCTCCTCAGGTCATCAGTGCTGGGAAAGAAGGTATCTTTCCAAGGGAGTTGTCTCCACTGAGCAACATCACACACAGCAGAGCCAGGTCACCAAACACGTGCAGTATGGGAACAGGAAGGCCATGAGATTCCCGCCTCCCCACATGGGGACCCTGCAAAGGGTTACCTGCAGGGCAGGGGAGCCCCATGCATTCCCTGAGTGCATAGGGGTGCTGTGAGGATATCAGCCCTGACTCTCAGCTGGTCTCTTAATTATGCTGGTCCTGCCTGCACCCTAGCAGGACACCACCATGGTATCCTGCTGTGTGAAGGGCATTACTGTCCCTGTGGTCCCTTCTCAGCAGGAAAACTCCCCTGGGCAGTAATGAGTCACAACACTTTTCTAAACCTCTGCTTCTCTGGGCAGAAGGTGCTCTCTAGACGCACGGGGCTGACCGTGGTAACATTTCCTGGCTCGCCCTATGCATTCAGCACCAGCTGCCTTTAACCTCATGGTTCTCACAACTATGGCCTAGGGCAGGAGCACTGCCTGCTAACTAGCTGCACACTGACTGATATAGAGGTGTTTTCTCTCCAAGGGCTTCATAATTTGGTGGGAAAATAATTGGCTTTGAATTGTAAATTTCAGTGAAGAGAAGAAGATAAGCTTGAAAGAAGGGGCTGAGTAGGTGGGGGGATCCCCAAAGGCCCCAGTGGCAGAAGGGAACCTGTGCTAGGTTGGTGACCTGCTGCAGGTCAAGGGGCAGGAGTGAGCGCTTCACCATATTTGTGGGCTGTGGAGGAATCTGTGAGAGGCTGGTATTTCCCAGGGCCTCTGACTGCCCCACACTTGTGCAGGTGTGAGGTGACTGAGGCTATGTCAGGCGACAGTGGTCTGTCTGGCAGTAAAGTGGACCGCAGTGCTACACTGGTGTAGGCTGGGAGAGGTGGGCACACACAGAGCTGGGCAGAGGCACAGGCCGAGGGTGCACTTGCTGCACATAGGAATGTCCTTGATCCCTAAGAGCAGGTTCCCTCAGGCAGGTCACTATGGAAAGCCAGGCTGGCAGTGCTACAGCTCTGATCTAGGGTTTCTGTCTGTGGGCCCTGTGCGCCTGATAAGCCACCAGCACCACTTGCCCAGACGCCTCTGTGCAGGAGACAGACCCAGGCTGACTGAAAGGTGCTCCATCTGGGTCAAGTCCACAACAGACTCAGGGCTTCTCAACAACCCAGACTGCGGTGAAGTCTTAGCCAGGATGAGGAAACCCACATGGCAGGAAGGTGAGCTGCTCAGGACCAGACAGCAAGCCCACAGCTGGGCGCCCCGTCACCCAGCTAAGTACAGAAAAAGAGTGGACCTCCAGACCTCCAAGTTGTGGAGCAGTCAGCAGCTCCCAAATGCCAGGCAGCAGGGCAGAGACAGAGACCCTGGGAGCAATCTGTCACCCGTTGCTTGGAAGAAAGGAAGCTTTATGTTCTCACAGGGACAAGAGGACACTTTTGGGCCTGTGGCATTACACAGGGAACCTACCTTGCTTTCATCCTCAGGGTCGTTGTAGGCACATGCTTCTATGAAATCTGGGAATGTCTCTGACCATCCATCACTTGTGCAGTTTTTGCTTATGTTTCCTGGAAAGTAAAGTTTCAATGTTTTATCTACAAGTCTGTGGAAACTTGACACAGGACGGACAACTTGGCAGTGCAGAGGCCTGGCCATCCTGAAATGGTATCTGCTCTGGCCACGCAGAAGCCCTTCTTGGCTTCTCCACCCACATCATTTCTTCACACCTGCCTCATGGGCTCAGTGGGGCTGACACCATGGACAGACCCTGTCATAAATCAATAAAAACAACTTGTAATTCTAACTGCTGCAAATCAGAACACTTTTATTTTGGAGCAGAATGATTTTGATGTTTCTCACCATGAGAGACAGCTATCACCAAGTCTAATCCCCATGGGCCCTGCCACCCACTCTGCCTGCTCCTCTCCCTCTGCCCACCCAACCCTGCTCTGCCCACTGTCCCACTCTTTCCTCTTATGTCCCAGCTCCTGGTACTGCTGGGGGGGCGCCTGGGCATCAGATTTAGCAAATACCTTCACTCACATCATCTCTTTATGTTTGGGGCAACCTAAGGAGGCAGACTTGGCAGTGTTGCTGCTCCCACTTTACAGATGGTAGAATAAGGTCCTGAAGGTTGGATGACTACTGAGTAGGAGACACATCTTCTGACTCCAGAGTCCTGGCCTTTCTTTACACTGTAGATGCCTACCTGCCCGTGGCTTTGCATAATCAGACAAAACTTAGAGCAAGCTCATTCTACCACAGTGGCAATCTGTCAGTAGCTCCTGCCAGGGAAGGTGGTGGGTGGAGCAAGACCAAAACCTGACTCCACAGGCTGCATAGCTCCCCTGGGGACCCACTTGTGGTCCTCCAGAGGTGTCTTACTCTCCAGTCACATGTGACAGGTATTCACAGGGCTGGACTGCTTCCTAGCCCTGTGCTAATAGGATTGGGATTTTCCAGAATATTTATGACCCAGCCATTGGCTGGGTGGGAGTTTGTAAAGTTCAGATTGTTTCATGACTCAGATCACTTAAGAATGTAGATGACCTATGCATAGGTGTGACTTCAGCCTTGACCTTCTGCAGGTGAGGAGCAAGGGCCCTTTCCCCCCATCCCAGTCTTGTTTCCAGAACTTTAATTTGAAGTCCAACACTATTACTCTTCAAAGTTCCCACCCTCCAACACCCACCCAGAGAAAAAAAGTTCCCCACAGCTCTGCAAAGCATCAAGCTTTCCTGTTTCCAGATGTATCTTCTATTCTCCAGTTTTACAGACAGACGTCCCCATGATAGGAAGGTCCGGATCACTCACAAAAACCAAAGCCTCCTCTTGGGAACTAGAGGCGTGTGTGCCCTGTGCAGAGCAAGCCAGGAACCAAAGAGGAGTCTGGACAGTGTCTGAGACTGCAGGCTCAGAAGCTGCAAACTTCAGGTAATGTCCAAGGAGCTGGTGGGGCGGGGCTGGGTCAGCAGGGTCAGTGCAGCAACCCAGCCACCAGCCAGCAAGAGGGAAGCTCAGTCCCAGAGGCTGCCCTCCTGCCAGTATCATAGCTCCAGGGAGCTGACTTCTCTCCCTTCCCTCAAGACCCAGGGCACAGGGTCGGGGAGGCAGCTCAGTGCAGTGCCTGCCTAGCAAGCACAAGGCCCTAAGTTCAATTCCTGGTACCAAAAAAAGAACAAAAAAAAAAAAAGAAGAAGAAGAAGAAGAAGAAGAAGAAAAAGAAGACAACCCAGGGAAATTCTCTCAGGTTTATGGGAGTTTCTCTTGGCAGAGGCCACTGGAAGCTTCTCCACCTTTCCCACCGCCCTGAAAGCAGTTTTGGTGGTGACTCCCTAAGTCTGTGGTCTCTGGCTCAGCCTCTCTCTTCATGCCTCCCTGCAGGGTCAAGTGGATGGTGTCCTCCTGCTCCCCAAAGCCAGTGCTCACCCTGGCACAGCCCTGCTGATCCCTGGCTGCACTTGGCAGCAGAAGGGGCCAGAAGTGACCGCAGGAAGCAAGGCCCAGCTTCCATGAGGGAAAAACCAACTCTCAGATGCAAACTCCATGGGGCAGAAGCCAGCACACAGGGGCATACCTGGCTTGACGTAGAAGTTGTTGAACACCAGGGGGCAGGGCACGGTGACTGTCTCCCCCAGGTCCGCAGGGTGCCAGCACGTGAGGTTGTCCCAGATGCCAGGGCAGGCTGGAAGGAGAAGCACAGTGTGAGGGTGCACAGCCAAGGCAGCTTGCAGGGGCACGTGGCTCTGGTCAGACGTTCACAGGGAGGAAACCTGTAATCAGACAACGATCTTGCAGGCTACTTCTGAGAAGCACAAACAGCCATGTCACCAGGAACACGGCAGGCCTGTGTGCTCATTTAATTTGTTTTGGAGAAACGACGAGGTCTGTGCTAGAAAATATCTGAATAATTCAAGAGTACTGGGAACTTTGAAAGGCTTTCTTTTATTTTAGTTAATTTACAAAACTAATTTTATGTATTTAAGGGGTAAAAATGGTGTCTCTATACATGGAGTGTGGAATGATCAAGCTAAACTAATGAGCACATCCATCACCTCAAGTACTTCTTTCGGGTGAGAATATGTAAATTTCTCTCTTTCAGTATTTTGAAATCTACAGTATTAAGTACAGTTGCCCTGCTATGTGATAGTTCCCCAGGACACATTCCTCCTTTCCAACTGAAAGCCCATACCCTCTCCTCTCCAGGTGCTGGCCACCACTTCTCTCCTCTCTGCTTTTGTGATCAACTCGTAGATTACACATGAAGGAAACCCTGCTGCGCTTGTCTTTCTGTGCCTACTTCACCTAGCTATTTTGCTTCAGATCCATCTATGTTGCTGCAATTGATGGGATTTCCATCTTTTTAATGGCTGAATAGTATCCCACTGTACATCTAGACCACATTTGTTTGGTCTTTTTTGGCACCAGGAATCAAACTCAGAGTCTCATACTTGCCAGGCAGCTGCTGCACTGCTGAGCTACATACACCCTTGGCCCCACCACATTTTTAATTTAAAAAAATGAATTTAAAAATTCAAAATTATTTTTTCATTTCAAGAGAATCATTACTTTCTTCTTATTGTTCTCCACTCCACTGTGGTGGAAGGGACACCTTTTGGGTCAAAGTCTTGGAGACTTAGCTGGGGTAGTGTGGTGGACTGACAACTGGTGGTCAACTTATAACACCCAGCTGAGCTGCGTAAGTGTGGTGCTGGGTGGGAGGCCCACCTGAGGATTGTTGCCAGCACTCAGAGGCAAAACTGGAGAAGAAGTTAGGCTGTTGGGAGCTGGTAGAAGTGGTTGGGATAATGCTGGAAGTGGAGAGAAGCTGCAAGGAGTTGTTGGTTTGTTGGAGGAGCTCATCATGCTGGCTTTCCTGATGAACTTGGCTGTTTTCATCCTCCAAGGAGCTTGGGACCTTGTTGCTGAGAATGGCTTCAGTTCACTTTGGAGGAGCTCTGGTCCTCACTTTGAGCATCACTTCCTGGCTCCAGAGGGAAAGATGGTACACTCTGCTCAGTCTCCTGGAAAAGCTTGTCACTTTGGCTTTCCTGATGGGAACTTGGCTGTCCTGATCATGGGAGGAGCTCAAGACCTCACTGTTGCTGAGGATGGCTGTGGTACCTTTTGGGGGAGCTCTGGTTCTTATTCTGAGTGTCACTTCCTGGCTCTAGTGCAGATCCCTCAGCCTGCTAGCACAGATCCTTCATCCTGCTGGCAAGACTTTCTAGCTTCCACCACTGACCTTTGGGCCTTCACAGTGCAGATCCGTGAAACAGGCCTGCATGAGATATTGTTATGGGCTCTAGACCTCCATTTGGACACATGGGAGGCATTGTTATGGGCTCCAGGTCTTCAGCTGGACTCATACAGGACATTACCGTGGGATCCAGACCCTCAGCTGGATTTTTCAGCCTTTAGTTTGTGGACAGATTTCCTGTACTCTCTTGTATATGATTCTATGGGTGACTATTATAAATAATCTTATAAAGTATGTACCCTGTATTATTTTGTTCCCCTTGCAAAAACCCCAAACCATGACAGGTAGGGATGGTCAGAAGCCTGGTGAGCCAATCCTAGAGAAAGCAGAAGCCATAAAACTCACATCCTAATTGTTCTAATTGATAACATGGATGTATGCATTATGTTGGCTTAGAATTCAGAGCTGAAGGCCTTCCTCTAGCCTGAGTGGGCCCTCACCCTGGGGGAGGGAGGTGCAGCTTCTGTGGGGGTCTCTTGGAAGAGCCGAACCCACTGCTGTGAGAAGAGCCATGGTGAGCAAAGGCTTTTGTGCCTTCCAGCTGGATGTGCTGCAGGAATGACCCAGCCGATGTGCACAGTACTGAGGTCCACAGAGCTCCTGCAGAACCAAGGCTGTGCAGGAAGGCCCAGAAGTGCCAGGAAGCTGAGCTGGATGGGACTGTAGCAGGGCCAGAACCACCTCCTCTCCACCTGATCAGGCTGAAAACCTTACTGTTCATATTTGTTACTTTCCTGTTGCTGGGATACAGGCACAACACCCACAGTTTAAGGAAGGAGAGGCTTATTTTCCTTCATGAGTTCAGGCCATAGTTGGCTGGCTCCAAGGCAGAAACAGCATGGTGGAGAGGCCTGGCTGAGGGCTCCTGGCAGTCAGGAAACAGAGAGCAAGGGGAGAAGTGTGGACAAGAATCCCCCTTCCAGTCACGCCCAATCAGGCCCCACCTCTCACCAGCACAGTCATTTACTGAGCTCATCAGTAAATGACTCCACTGATGACTGTAGCATCTCATGATCCAATCACCTTGCAAACGCAAGAGACTTCTGGGGGACATTTTAGATCTAAGCCATAACACCTTGCCATGAGGATTTAAATGCCTCTGACCACCATGTCCAAAAGGACTGTGTTTTCTGAAGTCCCACATTCTTGCCTCACACGAGCAGCCAGACTCCTCCCGAGGACACCATTTGAGTAAGACACCTTCCCAGGGGTCTCCACTACTGGGATGGAAACACAACTGGGTGCCATATGGCATGTGTGAAGCCAAGCCACCGGCCAACTCCATCTTGGTGAACGAGATGGAAATCATTTCATCACCCAGACGGGGGAAGGACATGGCATGAATATCACTTCACTACCCCCTGGTTGTGCCTCCTCTGTGTGCGGGGGATCAAAAGCAGAGAGGGATGTTTTTATGTTAGCAAGAAGATGGGAGAGAGGAGAGAGAAATTGGAGAGCAAGCCCTACTTGAGCATGGGAAGACAAGTGGCTCTGGCCTGTCGAGACCAGCTCAGGTGAGCCAGCTGTACTGGGGACTCATAGTCAGGTCCAAGATCACTTATTATAAAGGGTGATTTTTCTCCTTCCTAGGAGAACCCACAGCAAAGTACTCCTTGTACCCTGGCCATTCCCAGTATAGCGTCTGCTGTGGCCAGGGGAGAGTGGCTATCTGGCAGGACATGGAGTTACACAGAGCTCCTCTCCAAGGCTGTGGTTCTCGGTTTGTCCGAGTCACACTCCAGGAAGAAGAACCAGGAGCGGGCCAGGCTTACTGTCCAGCATCCTGAGTTTCTGAGGACAGAGCTCTGAAGAAAGTCACCTGGGAGGCCCCATGTTCTAGATGCCACATCCAGGGCAATGGCAGAGCTGAGGGTAGCTGAACTTGGCCTCTGAGCTCCTGGGCTTGGGGTTGCCTCCCTGACCCATATTCTTGGCTTGTTCCAAGGTCCCTTCCCTGGAGTGTCCTAGGAATTTTAAAATATTTTCTTTTGAGACAGGGTCTTGCTAAGTTGCTCAGGCTGGGCTCAAACTCTCAATCCTCCTGCCTCAGCCTCCCAAACAGCTGCAATTACAAGCTACCACTGGATAACTTCTTTAATTCATTTTTGAGGTACCTGTCTTAAATCCACACCCAATTAGGGAAGGCTCCCCTATACCCAGGATTTCCCCCACCATGGGCGGCTGGCCTGGGGTCAAGGCCAGCTCTGGGTACTGTGATGGTCAAGGGGGTCTTGCCCCTTGTTGGCATGCCCACATGGTCTCTGGGTACATGGGGTGGGCTGGCCACCTCTTTGCAGAGATGGGGAGGGTGCAGCACAGCACCCTGTCCTCCCCACTCTGAGACAGGTTTCATCAGCCACGTAACTTTCTCTGAAAATAAAAGCATCTCCCTCAAGACTGACTTCACACTAAGGAGCCTGCGGGAGGCCAGCACAGATGCTGAAGTTCACAGAAGGTCCAAGTTCCAAGGGTTGGCTGGGCATGGAAAGTCTTCCTTGGGTTTCACACGTGAGACATGTAACAGTTAAATCTCCATTGGTAAGCCCCCAATATCCACTATACTTAAGCACTGAATGGGGCCAAAAATGCTTGCTCTTTGATCTTTTAGGAAGAATTTTTGTTCTTTTTTAATTGATGAGAAAACTATGAGACTATGAGAATGCTGATGAATGAATATATAAAGAGTAATTAGAATTAGAGAATTCAACATGTTCTCATTTCCAAACACAACTGTTTCAGGGAAAAATCAATGGATAATAGGATATTGATGATACTACTGAGCTACAGCAATGAAAACCCAGGGAGAAACTGACAGATGCAGGAGTAGCAGAAGCTTGATGACAACACAGCCATCAGTTGTGGAGTATGCTTATCTTGGTGGACTGGCACCTGTGGGGAGATCACCTGTGTGGGGCTGTATTGTGCAGGGCAGGCTTGTGTGTGCCTCACCTCTGTGTGCCTGCACCTGTGTGAGGCTCACCTGTTCGGATCTCACCTGTGTCTGCATCTGTCCATTCCTGTACCTGTGTGGAGATCAGTCGTGGGGCTGCACTGGGGTGGGGCTCCCCCTTGGCTCACCTGTGTGGGCCTGGACCTGGGTGGGGCTGCATTGGTGTGGGGTCCACCTGTGCAGGGCTCACCTGTATGGACAGCCCCATGCGGGCAAGCTTCTGTCTCTTCTCTGGTAAAGTGAGGGCTGGGCAGAGAGGTTTCTGGGATTTCTTGGAGTTCTACATTTTGAAGTCCTTTAGAAAAACTTATTATTTTCCTTTTGGCCTAAAGCCATTGATCCTCTATGCATATCATCACTTAAAGAACTAAAAGCTGGATGGAATTGGGAATTGAATTGGGAATAGAAATTTTTTGGAGGTGCTTTGTCCTTTGAACTACAGCCATCTGTTCTGACCTGAACTGTCCCCAGTAAG